AGGGACTAGCACACTAGACGAGGCGGTAACCTCGGGTGCACATGTATGAGGCAGTTACAAGGGGAGCACAGTAAATCGTAGAAAACCGGCCACCAGTGCGGCACTTATATACGAGCTGCAATGCCAACGAGGAGGCATCCATGTCGAGTTCTACGGAAGAGGTCGAAGCCTGAGACAGGAAATTGGTAGTCCTGAAGGGCATTGGAAGGCTGTCAATAGTAGGCTCGGCAAGGGCTATGCCAGAGTGCCACCATTCAGCGGAATTGGCATAAGCTCCACATGGATAGGGCAAGAACAGATGACTCGCAATGTTATTTTTTGCAGTCAAGAACGGACACATGCAGAGAGATGCCCGCCAACGATTGACAGGCGTGGCCGCCAATGTTCAGATATCGCCAACGAACGGACGGGAGCTGGCCGACGCAGGAAGACAGCAACCGTTTAGTTCAAACTTAGGACCGGTGTCTAGGAGAAGAGTGCTGGTAGACCTGGCCCCATAGTAAGCCGAATCTAACGTCACCTTTGAGGGAGAGTTACACCCACGATCTACTGCGTGTCACACTCTCTCAGAAGGGCAAGATAGAAGAAGGCGAGATCCCAGGGAAACACGTTAGAGATAAGACACTAGCCCGCATGTCGATAAATAGAGGACAAATCAGTTCAAGGCAAGGCTGAAGCCACGCGATACCTAATCATCTTCCGTCGGCACCACTTGCGAGTGTCATCCCACGTCGGCTCGATGACCTGTGAACAGTAGAGGGACCTCGTGAAATGACTTTCTAACTCGACAGTGGCAGCAAGACGTCGCTATACATCTAGGATAGTGTTCTGATGACATCAAGCACGTACAGGGCTACAGTGATAACGAGAAAGAGTATCTTGAAGATGGCGAACGAGCGAAAAAGCAATCTCATTCAGTCCCCTGGCAGAGACTGTTGTCCGTCTAGAAATCGCCGCATCATACCTACAATAGAAAAACAATGTTATTGCCACATTTAGAGGCGATTTAGATGGTCGATTTTGGCCGACTCGACTTTCTCAGTTCCCGAAACAATGCTATCCGGACCGGATGACCTACGGAGGAATGGCTATCACTTGGACGCCGGAAAGAAATTTCAAAGGATTTTGGACAGGAGAAATGGCAAGACCAGTATACCGTGGATGAGAACGACGATGCTGAAGCCACGGAAGAGAGTACAGAATCCCTGGATGGACTTATGCAGACGAGGTAAGGTATCCAGAGGCGAAGCAGGTAAAGCTAATGTCCTATCCAGAATTCAGAAGCTGGAGACACCAAGGATCGGATGGAGCAGACGCTGCCAACCCATCCCGCGCTCCTCGCCTCGTGCTACGTGTTCCCGAGGGGATGTGAGGGAAGGCTACCATTGTTTATCTCCACACAGGAGAATAGGGCTACCCTGTATTGGCTGGGCAGATCAGCAAAGTGGTGCGAACTCAACCGGACCATTCCCTACCTAGTGAAGGAGGAGTGAGACGCAGCGAGGGACAGCAGTTTGGTGGAGCGTTTCTGAACGGCATTGGCACCGCCCCTTAAGTTAGCTGTACCACCTACAGAATCTGCTGCGAGTAGGTGGAATAAAAAACTGCCAGCCGCGTGGTCTTAATGTACTAGCGAGTGCGCTCGAAAGTAAAGTCGGCCTACGACACTTACATTCTGATCGAGATATTTCTTTTTCGCGGGGCGGGAGGATGGTCTCGGTACATCTCAACCCACTACTGTGAGGACGAATATCGTGAAAGCATAAACATAAATTGTAGGTGATGCCGCGACCAATAAAGCAGCCGCCGCGTCGAGTTCCGTATCCACGGCGGCGGATATGGATCAAAGAGATGAGCCCGACCATGGCGCGAAGGAGTCATCGACACCAGGGAAGCGGCTTGGGCTTCACCGCGTCGTGTCTTCAGTGGCCAAGAGGCGATGGAAGCGTCCGATTTTGTATCGACTACCGAAGGTTAACCGCGTAGTTCGAATCAAGGACGGTTCGCCTCTCCCCAGAATGACGACCTAGCTTGACGCGTTGGGCGCGAGCGCTACTGGTTCGCCACATTAGATTTAGCCAGCAGGCTACTGGCAGGTAGAGATGGACGAGAAGTCGAAGGATGTCACCGGATCTCCTGACGAAGACGCCTTTGTGGCGTTTCAGGGCTGATTTGCCGTTCGAATTTGTCGACGCACCGCGCGACCTTTCAGTCCCGGGACTAATGAGGTGGGTCCTGCGAGGCTGCTTAGTCCGGAAATCTTAGTTTACCTGGATGACATCATCATCTTGGAAAGAGGCGTTCGCAGGAGATGCCCATCAGGAGAATTAGAGACGTCTTCGACGCTGAGAGCAGCAAACTCTAAAATTAAGCCTATCTAAATGCCATGTATTTCGCCCGACGACAGTTAAACTATCTTAGGACACATGCTGACGGGAGGAGGACTTAGAATCGTGACCCAGCCAAAATAGAAGCAGTAGCAACGTTGGCCGACACCACAATCAGTGAGGGAGACTCGGAGTTTTCTGGCGACTCGCGTCGTATTACAGGCGATTCATAACTGGATTTTCTTTTATACGATAGCAAGCCGCCTCTATCAGACGTGACGAAAAGGGAGCTTATTAAATTTAGGTGCGAGTGTGGAGACGAGGAAAGAGCGTTCGGGCAGCTCAAGCAGATCCGCTGACCTTCGGCAGCAGATTGTTAGCTTAACGCCGACATCATGAGCGACAATTCATACTGGATACAGATGCAAGCAATACGAGGCTTGAGCTGTGCTATCGCGAGGTGCAGAATGCGAAGAGAAAGTCGTTAGCACTACCCCAGTCGGAACGCCTGAACAAAGCCGTCAGGCGAGTGAGTTCTACTGCTACAATATCCAAAGAAAGAATTAGTTGAGCTTCAGTACGAGTTGGTATTCGTTCAAACAGTACCACATTAATCTGTGGGGGAGGCCGTTTCATAGATTAAAACGGATCATGAGATCTGCAATTGACTTGTAGTTGGTTCAATTTCAGGACCGGAAGGATCCCACCTAGCGTGCGTAGCGCGATGGAGTAGCATTATTAGATACGTACGACTTCTGAAATCGAACATCGGAGAAGGACAGCATCAACCAGAAGCGGATCACTTGTCAACGTAGGACAGTAGGGACAATGCCCTCGAACGAGGACGCCCAGACACAAGCATGGAATGCTATTTCCTGTTTTCATTAACACACAATGAAGAAGGTTCAGTTCATGGTATAAGGAGCGAAGAGCTATTGAGAGTGAGGATGGCAACGAAGGAAATAATAATCAATACGTTGTGTGTGTGTTAATGCAAGGGGGTCGAGAGAAATTCAAAACAATGCTGCATCGCGGAGGGTTATGGAATCACAATGGTGCAGGAGAACGAAAAGGAATACTGCGCGAGGGAATAGAAAACAATGGTGTAAAGCCGATGTTGCAAAAAGTGGTAGGAGATACTGTTTTACGTCGCGGAGAATTCAGAACAGTGTATAGCGGCCGTGCACCGGAACCCTCGCGGTTCTAGCAGGGTGGCCCCGCTCTCTCTGGAGCACCGGTGGTAAGTAGATGTAGGTCCAAGTGATCCATGTTTGTAATTTATAATTATCTTGTTTGATGTCTCCTTGCCTGTTTATTCCGCACCTAGCTGCGTGTGCGTTTTCGTAGTGTTTTGCCGGCTCAAAATAACGATGATAGATAGGCTCGAGTCCCTACATGGGCGCACGCCATGTTGGCCGTTAGCCACTTCCTCTAGCGGCCTTGAGTTGGCGCGGGCCGTCGTTAACAGCTAGATCGATGCGTCTTAATATTGTTATAGAACGGTTACGCAGTCTGCGCGGGAAATTGGTTAGAGGGGGACTATATAGTGTTGCCAGTTCGTCCCGGTAGCCGACGGAGGGAGGATCTCGCTTCAGGTTGTATTGTGTAGCCACGTCCACTCCGTGCGTGATGCATGCTGTGGATGGGGCCCGTGAGCATGTGTGTGTGGCGGTTACGGTGACAATTAGCGACGATACCCGTGCTGAGGTACTGTATGGCTCACGGCTCAGTTTTGCGGTCAACTACTTAATGTACACGATGTGGTGTGCCTGTGTCGTCAAATGGCGTGAGAGAGACGGCGCGTCGGTTAATTGGTGAGTACGGCGCTGTTGATCGTATGTATGTGCCCATCGCATAACTCACCTCAGGCTGTGGGTGGAGTACTAGGTAGTAGTCGAATATTAAAATGGTTGGTTAAGTATTCCGTAGGACTAGATACGGGTATTGAGGGGTAGTTATTAACTTCTCGTGCACCGAGCTGTAACGGATGTACACGTGTCAAATCAACTGCACCTAGCTGGGAGAGGGCGCCGGTTACTGTACGTCATGCTCCTTGAGGGTCAACGCCTCGGCTGGCGTTCTGTATTCGATTCTATATATGTCAAATTCCTCACCATCATCTGCGTGTGCCTTACCCGGAGGTTGCATTCGTTATTCAACGTAAACGTATAAGCGCCGGCAGTCAGGGGTGGGGTTTGACCCCGTCTGTAGTGTCTGTGGTGTTAGTGTCGCCTCGTTCTGGCATTGTGTTGTACTACAACAGACGTCTCATGACGCACCGACCGCGAACAACGGCGGAACAGCGTTTTTTATTTGGCCTTTGGGGGACGTGAGGCGCAGTCTTAATGTACCGTGGTAATTTTTTACAGAACCTTGAAGCGCACCTAGCTGGTTTCGATTGATTATGTCACTAGCACGTGGTAGATCAAGCCCACCTAGCTTG